TGAGGGCAATTTAATCAGATCATCCCTCCCATGAGACACAGAAAGCAAATTAGAGGGCATTTAAAAGACTAGATACAACCAACAACACTGTGGGTTAGCTCTCCAGATAAAACAAACAGGTACTGTCTTTCTCAAACTACCAGGTGATTTCTGCCTTACAGCCATCTCTAGGGGTAAGATTTCAGTTTTCAGCACCAGTTCTTGACAACACTACTGTTCTCCAAGTGCCACGCTCTGCCACCTGCATCAGTTCCTGTGTCAGCACCCTCATCTGATTGCAGCTGAGCTGAGACCCAAGCAACATGTAGTACAAGCCACAAACCATCCCCAGCCAGCTGCTCTCACCCTAGAGAAAACAGCAGTTGATCCAAAGCCTGCTGAATGCAATGCAAAGACAGCTGTCATTGGATCCAAATAAGAAAATATTTAAGGGGTAGAGAGGTGGGGGGAAACTTTATTTTGAGGTTTCCTTTTCCAAAATTAAATAATTAAAATAAAAAATTTAAACACCTCAGAGTGAAAAATATTGTTTTTGACACATTACATTGAACCAATTCAAGCAGAAACCATTTCTAAACAACAAGTTTCTCTCTAACTCCTCTGCTCAGAGTCTTTTGCATGTTAAAGTTGCAGGAACAATTCAGTCAGTATTATCCTTACACTTCACCATATATGTGGATTCTGAGATACTTCTCTATAACGCACTAATTTTAATGGTGTTTGTATTACAACTGTTTTAACTCCCAGTTCTGACAGGAAAAATACGTAAACAAGTTTAAAAATTAAGTCCTTTGCACAACAGTGAAGTTAGAGCTACTTGAGGCTATGCTCCACTGGAGCGTTTTATACAAGCACATCAGAGTTTATAGGAAGGACAGTCTGCCTGTCTTTCTAAAACATGTTTTGTCCCTGAAAATTTAAACTGACTTCATTTGAATCTGGCATGAGAAAGCCATGGAAAAGCAAAAATAAAACATACCTATTCCTGCAGTTTTACATTTAGACCAGAACCATGGATGGTTTTGACTTTGTGTGACTAAAACTCTAGAGGTGTTGTAAGTGCCCAAATACTGCACTGGCAGCTTCCAGGTAAGAGAGAGAATATTCCCTTCTTGAATCCTTGACTATTCACACTTTCATCATTAAATTACGTTCTCCTCTGTATTTCAGAAATCTAGGAGCCTAACACTATTCTGCAAATCAAGTTAGCTACTACCTTATTTTCATTTCCATTATTTTCTGAATTTATTTCAACTTCAATAATTTCAGTTAGTATACTGATATGATCAATCAACATGATTGATATATGGCAGATTTTTATCAGTGGTGTACAGAAGATACTAGATTGAGATATATTGCCAGCAACTACTGCTTAGGTTGTGTGCTTGCAGAAGTTACTGCTAATAACCACTTTAGACTGTCTAAGACTGTAAAGAATAGTTGCTGACTTTGGTTCAGCCCCATACTGAGCTGCAAGGATGAAAGGATGCAATGCATCCCACTGCTCCTCAATGTCTTCTGAGCATCACCTGTATAAACACTTTCTGTTTGATTGGTATAATATTTTGGAGATGTAGAGCAAAAACGTATATCCTGAGATTGCTGAATTCATGTCATAGCACAAAGATGAGCTTTGTACAGTTTGGAATGTACAAGCCATTGGTTTCTTTTGACTTAGACTGAAATGCTATGCATTGTAATTACAAAAGTATAGCCTGGATGATATTAAAACAAACCGCTATTTTTTGTCACAGATTCACGCAAAATATGTTTCAACAAAGAGCACTAACTAAAATTTACATGTTTGTGTTATTTAAACTTTAGTGATCCTGTCATAAGCATTACTGTAACATTAAAATTACTTCCTAATGTCAGTCATAAAGTGATGTCATATTCAATACTGCTGTAAATGAAAAACAGTTCTCCTCCAGTTTCTAGATAAGCTTTTAGCAAGCACACCTCACAGCAAAATCACGAGTTGAATTTCACTGCCAGAGCTTTTGCTCCCAAACTCATATTTATTAGCCCACATATAAAAGCATGCATGAAAAGAAGCTGACAGAGCACAGTGAGGCATGAATTTTAAGTATATTCCAGCATCAAAGGTCAGAAGCAGATTTCCTATTTCAGTAGCAATTATAAATATCCATCAGAGGTGAAATAGGATTGACATAATGGGTTATGTTGTTTTTCCTGTTGATTTTGAAAGGTTAACATTCTGAAGAAAAGAAGAAAACCGTCTATTCCATCTCCTTAAAAAAGGAAATGCTTTCCAAAAAGGGTAGAAATGGGGCACCAGAGTACCAGAGCACTTTTTCTTCCGAGAGGTATTCATGAGCTCAGAGATTTTAAGGCCAGAAGGACAGTATAAGGACACCTTCTCATTCACGTGCTGTTTTCTTCTTTTAAGTCAGATCCCTCAATACACGCTTCATACCTCAAAGTGATACTATCTAGACTAATTGGCAGATAGCTGATGTGAACCCCACTGCCCTCCTTTCCTTGTCATCTACAGCATGTCGAGACTGTGCAAAATTTCTGTCATAAAACCCTCTTCTAAATCTAGCCCAGTCCAAGGGGTCAGGGGGATGGACTTGCAGGACCATAGATTTCCAACAATATGTATTGTTCTTCCAGGACGTGACTTTATGTAATTCCCAAAACACAATTTTTTATTCATCTTTTTAATCTCCATTCATAGGTCCCACTTGATTTGGTAACCCTAATGAACAAAACAAGTTCCTTGGATACCACTCTTACTTCTCTTTCTGTTCTTTGATTTCAATATATCATCTACAATTCCCTTGTTGTTACCTCTGTCCTTCTTTTCCATATTCCTCCCCTCACCCAAAACAGACCCAATTCCATCACTGTTATACCTGAACTTAAGAATTACTGTTGTCGTCAAGATAATGATAAAAACTACCTTTCTGCTCCCAGTATATTTTTGGTAGCATTTTACCACTTTTCAGCAACAATGCTTAGAAATCTGTACAGCACTGAAAGGATGAAAAGTCACACACTATCTAGTGTGAAAAACCTTGAGATTATGAAATGTTTCATTAAACAGCTGCTGCAACTATTTCATACTTCATCATTTAAAGGAAGTAACATGGGTAGAAGCCTTTTGCTTAAGCTGACTTTGCACAGATCTACTATGAAACACACCATTATAAATTAAATTACTTTGACAAGTAACAGCCCTCACAGCTATTTTGGCTTAATGCTCTCAGCAAGGGTCTCTGGATGTGGGGTTTATCTAGGTGACAACATCATGAAGCCAAATAAGGAAATTAAACCTATCTTAGGTGATTTCCTCTGAACATGTTTTATGTGAAGGATGATAAATAGAGCTCTGTATTTTGAACAGAAGGTTGCAGCAGAGGCAGTGCTGACGGACTCTAGGCTTTGTGCCAAGGTATTTATTTACTTGTTTCATGATAAATATTAAGCCACAGTTTGAAGTCTCGCCAAGCAAGAAAACCTCAAAGGGCCTGGCACAGGGGATCTTGTTATGTCTCTGTGTCCCCTTTCTGTGGGGAATGAGGAGTCAATGTGTTTCCTCACTGCCCTCACCACCAGGGTTTACATTTCACTAAGGTGCTGAAAACTGTTGCATTTTTGTCAATGAGCAACCCAAGTGTTTTTCCTGGGACTGTCAAACTTGCACAATGCTCCACATTTCTGAACACGTCCAAAACAAAACTGTTTTGATTAAACAACAGAAAAATATGTTTTAAATACTGAATGGTTGTGTTTGAGAAGACTACTTGCTTAGATCTCTGAGTACTAGGGAATGGTTTCTGTCAGACATTTGCTAAATAGAAAACAAAATGAAATTTCAAAAATTATTTGTAAAACTATGTGAATTACCACTTAAATGGTTACAGAATAGTGACTTGCAGACACGTTACCTTTTACTGAGAAAAGCTTTGTAGGTTGTAAGAGCAATAGTAAAGAATTAGAATTATGAAATAGATACTTCATGAAAAAAAAAAATATATCCATTTAGGATAATTTACCACTTTGGTTTGTGTAGTCACTGAAAAATGGTTTCACTTGGATGCTATAAGAGCATATTTTGATATGTAAGTTATCAGCCAGTGAAAACAAAACATCGTTCCCATTGCATTCAGGATTTGAACAGTACTTAAAGCAATGTTAGGAAGTTACCAGCATTAGGCAGTTGAGATTCTGTACAAATCGCTGCAGAAATGTGCTCTGAATGAGGTTGAGATGAGGATGAATACTTAAACCACCACTGAAGGAATACAAAAAGGGCTAGTTTCAAATAGTTTGTGAATATTTTATGTACTCAGACATTGGGTTGTGAGGCAATAACTGAAAAATTATGTGTGCCTCTTTTGCCCAAATTTGATTAAATTTTTTCTCTTAGTCACTTCAGTAATAGGTTGGTGGTGATATGCTGTGCTAGCCTATTTACAAAAGAGCCAGGCCACTAATTTCTCTTCCTGGTCCTTTGCTTCTCAAGTCTGAGAGAACAAAAAGCACCATGAGAGGTCATTTCCTGAGCCTGCTTCCCCAGTGCCATCACAGTAATATCCTGTGTTGATTTTGCTAAACAGGAGGAAGAAGGAATCAGACCTACTGTCTTCAAAGGAAAAATGTTATTTCTAATCCCTGGTCCCTGACAGTAAAAGCCTTTTTTTACAGTCTTTGAAGGAACTGCCTCTGTGTCCTAAATGTACACAAACCATGACATATAAACTAATGCTTGAAAGAAAGTGAAAGTTGGACAGTTAAATCTGCTTTGTAGCACATGAGACTGAAGAAGGCCCAGGACAAGAAACCAAACCCAGCACTATTACAACTACAGAGTCTGATACAATTTTGCCAGTCTCATTAACTCACATCTGTAGTGAGTACAGAAAAGCATGAGGATAAAGAAGGCTGATGCATTCACCAAAGGTCTGTGGGGTACTCCTCCCCACAGACTGCTGCTCTCCTCACTGATTTGCTGCCTCTGCCTGGTATAATGCTGGAGGGACAATGAAGGCTATGAAAAAGCAGAGAAAAACAACAACCAGCTACAGAGATTTTGTTGTCAAATGTCTGCTGACTTTTTTTACTTTTTTTCGTATTTACAGGAAAGCCAATGGCAGATGAAAACTTTAACTTTCCACTAACAACAGAACATCACTGAGGATTACCACATTTTCAGCTGCCTTCACAGTGAGCACCACTTCTTTTTGCCCAAAATTCAGTATGCACTGTTGTATTGGTCTTCTCCAGCCCTCACCAGGTTTGATACCAGAAACACTTGTTCAGTCAGGAATCTTCAGTTACTTGTAGTAAAAATGTAAATTGCTTTATTGATAATCTTTCATTTGTCAAATTCATGCTAATTGCATTAAGTCTTGTCTCTACATCTGAAAGTTTCATCCCACTTTACACAGAGCAGAAATGTTTAAAAATAAACAGATGGAAAAAAGTGCTGCTAGAGAGAGATAGACTAAGTCTGAGGGCTAGAAAGATACCTCTGCTAATGGCTACCAGGAATCAGCTGATTGCTGAAGACTTGTGACTGCAGGAAGTTATAGGCCCATCAATCTTACTTCACTCCCTGGGTCAAATGAAGCAAGTGATTCGGAAATGCATAGATTCACAATGAGATCAATCACCCATTAAAATAATCTCCCCAGGGAAGTGGTGGATTATCCAATGTTGGATACTTTTAAGGTTCAGCTGGACAGGGTACTGGGCCATCTTGTCTAGATTGTGCTTTTTGCCAATACAGGTTGGACCAGATGATCCTTAAGGTCCCTCTCAACCTCTCAATGGTTGAATTCTATGATTCTATGACTGTAACAAGCAAAGTGAGGAGGAATTCACAGGTGATACATGACAAACCAGTCATGCATGACATGCAGAACTGTTCATGATATGGCTCTGATTTTCCTGCCAAAATTTGGGCTGCTGTTACCATTATAACATGTTATCATCTCAAACTAACATGTGCCTGTCACTACAGATGGGTCATTTGGTGGTGAGGCACTGGAATAGGTTGCCCAGGGAGGCTGTGAATGCTCCATCCCTGGCAGTGTTCAAGACCAGGTTGGACGAGGCCTTGGGTGGCATGGTTTAGTGTGAGGTGTCCCTGCCCATGGCAGGGGGGTTGGAACTCAATGATCTTAAGGTCCTTTCCAACCCTAACTGTTCTATGATTCTATGATCTGCTGGCACATGTGAGTTCTGCATATCACTGAATATTTCCAGCCAACCAGATAGTTTTGGAAATTTTTCAGGTAAGGCATTAGAAAGCTGTCCACTGCCATTGATAACAAGAAGAATAATGCTCTACAGATGTGCTGCCGGAGCAAAATATTGGCATGTGATAAATATTACAAAATTTGTAACTTTTTCACAACTAGCTCACCAGCCAAATGTCACCCACTTCCAAGGAAGCTCTCACAGCTGTTTTATAAAAATAGAAAAAGATATTCACTGACACTAGTAAACTCCCTCTACAATAGGCTCGGTACTTAAACGAAATCCAATCCTAGCAGTCAAACCTGACCCCATGTCTTAAGTAACTGCCAGGTTTGATAGTATTCTCCATCTGAGAGTAGGGGAATGTTATCAACCCTGTGAAATTTAAACAAATGCCAGCACTAATGTTCTCCATGGGTTTACTGTTTCTTTTGAAATCAAAATAGTTCTTGATGTCTTGATTCTTCAGGCATGTTAGGTAATATTCAAAAGGAAAATCTGATAACCCAGTGTCTCCAAGACATATGTATATCTCATGTTGATCAATTCTATGATGGACTACCATCTTCAGGCAAATAAATAATTTCCTTATAATCTACTAGTCACTGCTGAAAACATAATGACAATCCTACTAAAATACTTGGAAAGCAAAGCTAGTGAGAGATGCTAGCATATACATGCAACACAGCAGATGCTTAATGTAACCCCTCAGAGACTGTCTATAGTTCAATGGCTTCTTCCAAATCAATCCTGGGAAGTCTTCTCTGACATAGTGCTCCACAAAATCCAATTACAGTTCAACAAGTGAGTCACCACAGTCACTTTTTTCCATATTGACCACCAGGATCTTGTCTGTGCTTGTACTGCACTTTGCTGCATTACCCATCTCCTGCTTACATCTTGCATTTACAATATATTCCTCCAAGTGAGAGTCTTGTGTTTATTTGTACAGTGCCTTTCACAGTACATCTTAGGCTTCTAGATGTTACCATAATATGAAGAATAATCTCTATTTTGGGATCTTCAGACATTTTCCAAGCACAAAATAAGGTTTTGTATTAATAATATTTAATTAATTAACATCATTTTTCATAACAAACAATAGCAGGGTGCTAAACCAATATTAACCATAGGGAAAAGAGTGTATTTTTGTTGTACCTCAAAGCACTTAATCCAAGCTTCCTGGAAGTCTGATGTTTTTTTTTTCCACCTTCAGGTGAATAGCATGGCAGTGGACATTGCCTGACGTATTAACAGAGCCCTGATATAATTGAGAGAGGCTGAGAGAGAGTGGTCTACCGAAGGGTCTTGAACTCTGGAACTTGCTTTCCTCATCCTTTCACAAAGCTCATAGTAGTTGACCTTTAGGTCATACTACAAAGGATACCTTTTCTACAAGTCTCTTTCTGGGAAACCAGGATGAGTGGGCTGTGTTGGATGGTGGGAAAGACCTTTTTTCACTACTTTCAGAAGGCTTTTATATTATGTTGCTGGTTTTGACTTGTGTTTTATTGCACATGATTTCATGAACTTTTGGATAGGCTTGTTTTTTGCAAAATTAAAACAATAAATAATGATGCAGTAGATTGCTGTTGAAATTGCAACACTTACAACATTTCTAGTAATTTCTGACCAGTTTGTTCCTAAGAGAAGTAGGTGGGAAGAGGAAGGGATGCTGACTGCTGCTGTAAAATACAGTTTTACTTTGTTTGCCTGCCCAGGCTGACTCTGCAGCTACCTTGTGTTGTAGTGGACATTTCCCCAGTAGAGCTGTGGCAGAAGCAGCATCACTTCTCTTAACTCAAGCTCACTTTACACACCAAGGAAATGCAGGAGAGAAATGCATATGAGGCCAATTCAAGAAACAGCTTTAAATTGTGCCTGTTGTTATGGTTATAAAAATACATTTCATAACTTTGTATATTTTTTAATATTTTTTATAATATAAAAAGAGGTCTTGTTTCAAGAAAGTCAGTTTGTCCTCTTCTCCTCATAGTATGAGTAGGGACTGTTTGTTCAAGTTTCTTCTGGGTCCTGAAGTTGGTTCTTGTTTGTCTAAGCTGGCTAAAAATAAATGCAATAGTACCAAATGTGCTGAATGAAGACAAAAAATTCAGGTACAACAGATATCCTGCCAAAGTTTATTTGCAAACAGAGTTAATCTTAAACCAGATTATTTTGCTAGAAAACCCACAATCAATGTGTTTAAACACTACAGATCCTGGTATATGTTGCGATGGGTAAGCGTCCACCTTATTAAACAGCCGATCTTGCTGAGGGAGCCAGCAAGAAGAGTCCAACATCTGTATTCTGCATGGTCTAACTCCCAAGCAGCATCTATACAAAATGAGCTCTAAAATGACTTTATTTTTATATTTTTTTTGTTTTGGAGCATGATGAAATGAGTGGCTAGTGCTGTACTTTCCAAACACTCTGTCTAGGCTTTTCTGTGGTGTAACAAAGCTGCCTTTTGCTTTGTAAGTGTATTACTTCAGTATAGATGACACTCACCTTAGTGGGAATGACATCATTCAAAAATACAGTGTGTCCCTCCTTTTATTCGTTTTTCACTGAGTGCTTAGTGTGAGTTGGGAATTACACAGACAACGGAAAACTTCTGCCCCTGATAACAGAAAGAAACCTCAAGAGACAGAAACTGCTGTGCAAGCACTTCCTCCCTCTGGTACACTTTTTACAGCATCTGGATATACCAGGGAAGTTTCCTAAGTTTTAATTTCTCTTTGAGTACTTCTTTAGCTATTTCAAAAGTTTAATTTTCTTCACTCAGTGTTTGGGAAGAACATTCAAGCATCACCCACTCCACTACTCTCATTCTATCCCTGCTTTACTAAGAAAGCCATGCTTTACTAAGAAACCCCAAACCCCAAAAGAACAATTTTATAACTAGAGCTGTTAAAATAAAAATACACATATATCATCATGCCACCAGAAACATTAGGCAGAAGATCCGAAATTTTAATCTGAGTGATTGAATTTAGAGATTGGCATGGTATTCAACACAGTGAATGGTGTTAGGGCTGAGGAAGATCTTTCTGTGGAGCAAGTCTGCTGCAGGCAAAAACGTAATCCAGTTAATGCTGGTGCAGTTCTTGAAACCACCACCAGTTCTTTCCACCTAGTAACACCTGCCTCCATGGTGTGCCCTGCTTCAACTCCTGGGACACTGGCAATTGTGCTGCTGCAAGAGCTATTTTGATCCTGTTGGTGAGCCATGATCTTTGCTCCCCACCTCTGAACCAACTTGTATTGAAATTTCAGCACCCCAGTGACTTGCTCCTTTTCTGCGGTGTTCAACAGCAGTTTCTCAACTTTTTTCTGAGTGAGAAAATAGTGAATAAAGGTTGGTATTAACTAGACTCCTAGAAGAACAAGAACAGTAGCATGTTCCTGGCTGGCATTTTATACAAATAAAATATATTTATACCTGGTGAAAGATTTACAGGTTCTCAAAATAGGTAGTCTCTGCACAATTTGCTCCCACCTGAATAAACAACAGAAACACAGGCTCCTTTATGTCATATATCCAACTCCTTGGGAAATTGAACTATTCTAGCTGAAACCTGGGCTACACAACTGAAATACATGATTTGAAAGGTGTGCTTTTAAACCAAATCATCTGCAAATAAACCAAAAACCTCCTATGACTCTGACATAAGAGTACACTGCAGCAGATTTCATTGGTGTGCATTTTGTCACTTAAGAAAAGCCTAACTAAAATGGCACAGTTTCCTTATATAGAATGTCTTTCTTATGGCAAATATCATATCATCAATTTATACGATATCATCCTCCCATCTAAGGGGAAGCTAAAGGGTGAAGCAGCTCCAGGAAGCAAGAGTGGAGAAACCCTACCCAGACTTTTAAAGGCCCGACCAGACATTCGCTTCCTCTGCAATGAAGAGCTGTCTTTTGTATCACCTTACAGTGAAGCTGAACATTTT